CTCTGAGATTTCTATGAATTGTAACCATTACTCTAATCGCCTCTCATCATTTTAGAAGTTTAGACTTAAATTCTGACTGATTTAATTAGCCGTTCAGGCTTCCAAATAATCTAATTTAATTTATGTGATTTTTTCTTTTTTTTTTTTTTTTTAAATCAAATGACCTAATGTTGAACAAGGTTTGGCTCTAAGAAGGGAGAGACCTAAGTCAGTATGAATTAACTCTTGGCTCTAATAAATTAATGAGTAACCAGGTCCCTGCTTATAATATTTTAAAATTTTATTTCTCTCAATAAAATGGCTTGTTTTTCTTTTTTTTTCCTTACTAAAAAAACATTTTATTTTCCATTTTGGGAAAATCACAGAAACCAAAAAGAACATAAAGCCACAGTCCCACCCACCCCAAAATCTTTTTTGTGAGCCTTTATATGCTTCTATATGTGTGTGCATATATGTATTATATATTTTAAAGCAAAATAGAGATCATACTTTCAAACTGTTTTGTATCCTGTTTCTATCTACTTAATATGAGTATCAGTTACACCATATGTTTCTGCAGTATCACTTTATGGCTACACAATATACCATTATTTGGATTGCCATAATTTCTTTAATCCAGTCATTTATTTTGGGCATGTAGAGTGTTTCAACTTTTCAGAATCACTAAGAGTGCTATCATGATATCCCAAGATAGGTATTTTTATGTTGATCACAGATTATTTTCTTAGTGTAAATTTTTAGAAATGTAAGTTCTCATTCAAAGGGCATTTTTAAAACTTTTGAAATGTACTGCCAAGTAATCTTTCATAAGAATTATGTCCATTTATATTGCCATTAGTGGTATATGCATATTTTCACTTATCTCTTTTCTATGTATGATGCTGAGGGAGACAGAAGGAGATAGTAGTATTATATTCATTTGCAAAGAGACTGTGAGCCAGTAGAGACAATACTGAGGGTGACCTCCTCTCTCACTTGTAGGCCCTACAATGTAGGGTATATTGTTATGCCTTCAGACTCATATGGAAAACTCGTTTAAAATGAGAATGAAAACAATGAATGATCATTTGTGTATGTGTTTAACATTGGCAGAAATGCCAAAACATCCTCAGGCTATCAAATTGATAATCTTTCAATTTTCAGGCCCTGTTTTTTCTAATTAAAGTAGTTTCCAGTCTCTGACCCCTTTCAGTCACCCTTCATAATAATTACCAGAATAACCTTCATTAAGTAAAGCTGTGATCTTGTTACTCTTTTTTTTCAAACCAGGGTAGATGTTCATGATTTGATCCCAGGCTGTCTACACTTAGCCTTATTTCTCACTATCATGTACATTCAGCCAAACTGTATTACTCAGTTTCTCAGAAACAGCTACTGTTTTTCTTTTTCCCCTGCTTTTTCATTTCATATCCTTCTACCTGAAAGTAGGCCTGATCCCTCACAGTTTTCCCATTCATCAGACCTACTCAAATAAAAGAATTTGTTTTCCTCAAATGAAAACAGTTCCTTACTAAAGAATGTTTTATTTAGTCTGATAGGGCACTTATATTTTACTTTAGAGTACAGGTAATTGTTGACTATCTTACAGTTCTTCCCACCCAATGGAATGTAAGGTCACTTAGGGTAGAAATGATGCCATTTATTTTGTACTCTTCCCATAAGCATATATTCTTATACATAGGTTTAATAGATCATCAGGAAATATTTGTTACATAAGTAGTAACTCAAATCTACAAACCAGATTGTGGTGTTTTGAGCCCCTTAACAACAGTAATAACTGGAAATTTATTAATTTTTTGAGTGACATCACTGCTCATTTCATTCTTACAATCACCCTTTGAGCGATTTGCTAACTAAAAAAGTTCAATAAAACCCAGGGACATTTGAGGGCATTCGTCCCCTGATTATCAATTTACTCCTCTTTCCACAAGAGGGTGCTATTGGGTAAAGTTTCTTCAAAGTTAGCTGCTCTTAATGAGCTTTGATGGGCTGCTCTTGAATAAGAATTTACCTGGATGTTAAAAACTTAGGAAAGACTATTGCTCTATTTTGTATGTAATAATTATACATTAAAGAAGTACATCAGTGACATAAGCCTGGGTAGGTGCTATATAAATCTCTTAGAGAACTCTGAGTTATTATTTGGGGCAGGTATAGGGGTTATTTAGTATAAGGAGAAAGGTGATGGTAAAAGGTAACTAGTAATCAGAGCAGTTAATCAGTGAGCTAATCTTAGGAAAGTCATGACTTCACCATGATTGCAAGTGTTAAAAGCAAGGGCGTGTCATAGAATTCATTGCTTGTTGGGTTGGAAGCTGGACAAAATGACTTCCAAGGTCCCTTACAACTTATAATTTTATGATATATGATATATGATATAAAACATTGTAGAGTTTTAGCCTGGAAACATGAAGGTTGCGGGGTATTTGTAAATTTTTTTTATAGTGGCATTTTTTGTTTAGCCCAATTCTGTATTTAAATTGACTACCATTTATTCAGAGTTACTTTCACAGAAAGGATGGTTGGATTAACAAAAACAACAAAGATCAGGGGCACTCTTCAAGTTTTTTTGAAATCTAACTTGAATTTAGAGCAGTAAAATGTAGGGAAGGTCAAATTCATAGAGACAGAAAGTGGAATTATGGTTGCTGGGGGAAGGGGAGTTATCGTTTAATGAGTGGAGTTTCAGCTTGGGAAGATGAAAAAAATTCTGGTACAAGTGTGCATGTACTTAGAGCCACTGGACTCTATGCTTAAAAATGGTTAAAATGATAAATGCTATGAATATTTTACCACAAAAAAAAAAGTAGAGAAGGGGCTTCATCTTATTAAAGTTATTTAAATACTTTGAAATCTAACTTGCATTTAATCCAGTAAAATGTAGGGAAGATGTTTCATCTTGTAAAGTACCTAAATAGAAACAGTTTGACTTTTATTTTTTGTTTGTTTGAAGCCATCAAGCCAGTTTGCAGGTAGAGTCATTACAGGAACAACTGAATATAGTCTCTAAGCAAAGGGATGAGACTGCCCTACAGCTTTCTGTGTCTCAGGAACAAGTAAAGCAGTATGCTCTGTCACTCTCCAACCTGCAGATGGTACTAGAGCATTTCCAACAAGGTACGTTGTATGGTCAGCTTTCAGTGCAGAAAAATTACTGTAGTTTCCGGGAATGTTGGCTTATTTGAATGCTATTTTTGATTAGGTGTAGGGATATCTTTGAAAGGTTGCCCATCTGTAGGGGGGAAAGATAAGTAATCATTAAGTTAATTTAGACTGCTTTTACAATTAAGACTGCAGAACATAAACTATAATATTTAAAATTTTGGTTTAGTATCATGACAAGTTAAGGTGACCATTGGGGAAGTGTGAGGGTCACATAGAAAGGATCATGTGACGAAGAGGGGAATACAAAGGACGAGAGAGGCCCACATGTAGAAAAGATGGTCTGGTTCTGAGATATTGGAGATTGAACCCACTTCCAAGAGTTAATCATCAGTAACTACTGTCCTTTGAAGTATTGATGAACTTGTCCTTAGCTCTTCATCTATACTTTGCGGTAACTACGTTTTCTAGTTCAAGTGAAAAATACTTTTCTGGAAACACAGTAACAGCGACCAGAGAAGTTTTACCCCGATAACAATATGCTTTTTCACATCTACCAACTTTCTTCCGATTTACCCCCTTTAGTTCTTTCACCCGTCTGCTTGTCTATTCATACATTCAGTAATCATTGGCAGTGAATTAACTGCTAGTGGGAGGCAGGTGGGTGGTGAGGGGGTATGAGGCTAGTGAAGCGACAGGGGTTATAGTTACGTGTCTAAGCTGAAGTTTAAACTTGTATGAATGTACACCTTCAGGGTTACTCATATGGTTGAAATCTTGAATTTTAAGTATAAGATTTCTGTAGGCCGACTCTGTATAATGCTAGAGTGGACATGCGTGCAAAGTAGTGTGGTACTGAGGCCATATGTGAGTGGAGTTCTGAAGGGGGGAAGAGTTTGCAAGATGGACAAGATGGAGAAGCATTTAGGCAGAGGAAACTGATCTCATTACTTAAATCCAGTTGATATTATCACTAAAGGTATATAATTTTCTTGTTGAGACATTTTTTACCAAGGATGAGCCTACGCTGACACATCATCGTCACCCAAAGTCCATAGTTCACCTGAGGCTTCGCTCTCGGTGTTGTGCATTCAGTGGATCCGGACAAATGTGTAATGACACATTTCCATCATGATAATGTCATACGGAGTATTTTCACGGCCCTGAAAGTCCTCTGTGCTCTGCCTGTTCATCCCCCTTGTTACCTCCTGCAAACACTCATCTTTTTATTGCCACCATAGTTTTGCCTTTTCCAGAATTGTCATTATAGTTGGAATATTACAGTATGTAGCCTTTTCAGATTGGCTTCTTCCACTCAGTCATATGCGTTTAAGTAACTTTTTTTTTCTTTTTTAGAGGAAAAAGCTATGTATTCTGCCGAACTAGAAAAGAACCAACAGCTGGTAGCTGAATGGAAGAAAAAAGCCGAAAATATGGAAGGAAAAATGCTGTCATTACAGGTTGGTTGAAATAATTTTTCTTTGTAATTTTATTATTAATGAAACAATTACTTGTAGAATCTTTGTCTTGGAAATAATCTTCTAAACAAATAATTTAGTAAATATTGTTTGAGTGGCTAACCTGTACCCTGTGCTGGGGCATAAGAGGGAACAGGACACTCAGGACACAGCAAATATGAGATGATAGGAGATTTAAATTCATTAGTATAGATGGGTATCTTAGAGATCACAAGAAAAAAATCTACAGTTTTAACTTTATAATTTTCTCTTTTCAAAATATATTGCATACTGTATTTCACATGGATTAAAATAATGTATATTATCCCATTAGATCTTTTTCTCTTGCAGCATAATCCTTTAAAATATTTCTCCTTATTTATTATGCTGCATTTCATACATACAAAAATTATACATAAGACATAAATAAAACGAACCCTCATGAAGACAGATGACACGAAAGCAACCTGCTTTTAGATTTAGGATAAACTTTCTAAGTCATGAGTAGACTCTGGTGATAGCTGGTGGAAAGTAATAAAATTTCTTTACATGTCATTACTGGTGAATATGCTATTCAAGCACATTAATATTCCAAATAAGGGAAACCACGTTTCCTTTAAAGGTTTGAAATCTTTATTAAATATATAGATAATATGTATAAAATATAAGGATAGCAATACAGCAAATACCCACATGCTCACCACACAGTATAAGAAATAGAACGTTGTCCTTTGAAGCTCCTTGTGCTCTTCTCACTTCATCCTTCTCTTATCACGTCCTGGGTAACTCACTACTCCAGAATTTTATGTTTGTCACCCCCTTGGTTTTTTAATTTTTTTAATGGTTTTATCACATACAGATTTGCACTCTAAACAATACAGTTTGTTTTACATATTTTTGAACACTGTATAAATGGAATTTTGAACGGTGTATAAATTGAATCACTCTTCTGTGACTTGCTTTTTTTGCTTAATATTATGTTATGAGTTTCAGTGATGTTACTGTGTGTTACTATGTGCAGACAGTTCATTATTTTCACTGTTCTATTCATTACATGAATATGTAATTTACCTGTTTTATTGCTAAAGAACATTTCATTTTCTGATACAAACAATGTGGTTTTGAACTTCTTTGTTTATACCTTCTGGTGTACATGTACAGGACTTTCTTTTAGGTGTGTGTCTTGATTGGCATTGCTGAGTCGTGGGATATGTATGAGCAATTTCAACTTTATTAGATGTTGCCAGTTGTGCTAATTTACTCCTGCCAGTGTGCATGAGAGTTCTACCTCCTTGGCAACACTTGGTGGCATTATCAGAATAGTTTACATTTTGCCAGTGTGGTAGTAGAAGGGCTATCTTCTTATGGTTTTAATTTGCATTTCTCTGACTACTAATGAGGTCAGTCAAGCATCTTTTAATATGTTTATTGACCTTTATGCTTCCTTTCTGGTCAGCTCATTAATACATTTAAAAAGATATTTTATCTAACACTTTCAGTTGTTTCCAGTGGGTCCGGAGTATATAGTCTGTGATATTACTGGAATGGAAGTCACATTTTCTTTTTAAACTAGCTTTATTTTTAAAATTTAAAATGTAACATATATTTAAAAAAAGAACAAAATAAATCAGAAGAAACTGAAGAGGGAATTAATAGATAAGAGCTGAAATTAATGAAATAAAAACCAAACAGATGACAGAAAGAATAACAGAATCTAACTTAATTTTTAAAGTCTTGATGTAGTTTTGAGTTTTAATAATTTCTTAAATGTAAATGCTATGAGGTTAAAAAAAATCATTTGAAAGCTTATTTAAATTTTCTTTATACTACATTTAGCTTTGCAGATTTCGAATATTAAACATTTTATGTATGAACACATATGTACAAACATATACACGTAATCATTGATATATGTGTGTTATATATGGATACACACCTATGAGATTTATTACAAGGAATTGGCAATGTGATTTTGGGGGCTGGCTAAGCAAGTTCGAAATTGGTAAGGCTGGCAGTCAAAATGGGAAGATCACAGCACAGGCCGACTGGAACTCACAGGCTGGGGCCAAAGTTGCTGTTCCCAGGTGGTTAGGAAAGAACCCCACAAGCAGGATGGGACTCCATGGTCACGGGCCAAACTTGCTGTCCACAGAAGGAATTTCTTCTGTCTTTTGGGGAAACCTCAGCCCTGCTTTCAAGGACTTTCAGCTGGTTCAAGCAAGCCCACTACGATTATCCAGGATAATGTGTCTTCCTGAAATTGAACTGATTAGGAGTATTTTGATTGTACTGTAAAATGCCTTCACGGAAACATCTAGATTGTGTTTGATTGAATAACTGGCGACTCTGACCTATCCAAGATGACACGTCGAAAAAGCTGTCACGCTCTGATTCAAGATGGTGAAAATTGACCTGAAATTTACATTGGTGAATACTCTATAGAGTAGCCAAGAAAATTGTGTGAAAGAACAGCAGTGAGGAAGGACTCACCTACTGAATATCAAAATAGAGCCATAAATCAATACCATATTGACTAGATTAGTGGAACAGAGGACAACCTAGAAATAGAGCTCAAGATATAATCGAGAGTTTAAAACTAAACCCTAAACTAAACCAATTTCAGTTTGATGGGAAAAGAGATATATTATTAATAAATGATGTTGGCACAACTGGCTGTCTATATGGAAGAAAATAAAAATTGGAGCCCCATCTTACATCATATACAAAACTAAATTCTAATTGTATTAAAGTGAGAATTCTCAGCTGAGAGTGGTCCCGGAAGTCTGGAGGTATCCTTGGTTGTTACAGTGACTGCCTGGGTCTTCTGGCATTTAGTGGTCAGGGGCCAAGAATGTCAAAAGCACTTCCCATTGAGAAACATTATTTTAAAGATGTAAATTTTTTTAAAAAATTAAATATCTTTTAAGAAAATCTAGAAGACCACATGTACAGTCTAGGGACAAGGAGGAGCCTAACCAAGACTAAAACTCAAGAAGCTATAAAAACAAAGTAGGCATGTTTGACTATATTCACTTTAAACACTTTTACATGGCAAAAGATATTATTCAGTCAATAGACAGTTGGCAGGTCTGCCAAATGAAATTTGTAGCACTGATGACAAAGGGTTCATATCTACGATACAGGGTGCTCTTACAAACTGATAAAAGACAGCTCAGTAGAAAAACGGGCAAGATATGCAAAGAGGATTTCACAGAATAGCAGGTGTAGCTGTCCTGTAAACATGAAAAAGTGCTCAAGTTCACTAGTAGTTATAGAAATAAAAACTAATAAAATAATAATGAAACATCACTGTATACCCATCAGGCTTGCAAAAATTGAAAAGAACATCTTGATTTGTATCTGCTTTTTGTAGCTTTTATTCTCTTATTATTGCTACTTTTTTTTTTTTTTTACTTTTGTCACCATGTTGTCTTTTTGTGGCATCCTCCTTTTCTAATTAGTTACTCTAAAGGAGACCAAATTGTGTTGTGAAGTGTGGGTTCTATCTTTGACATTTATTAGTTGTGTGATCTTGCCCAGCATCACAGAGGAGTAGCTTCATCAGCTGAACTAAAAAGGGTTGATTGATTCTAAGATGTCTTCCAGCCCTGTAGTGTGTGAAATAGTTTTTCATGCTGCTTTTTAATGAACTTTCCGTCCTCAGGAGCGTTTGGATGAAGCAAATGCTGCATTGGATGCAGCATCAAGACTCACGGAACAGTTAGATTTAAAGGAAGAACAAATGGAAGAACTTAAAAAACAAAGTAGGTTTTTTTTCTTTTCCTTTTTGTCCCCCTTACAACACTGGTGTTGAATCAAATGTAGGCTTTCCCCAGGGAGCAGTATAGTTGGGTGAGACCAGCTTCCTTTGGTAGGTGACTTCCATTTCCATCTCCCATGACCAGTTTGCTTCAATTTGAATATGATCTTAGTGAAACCAGAGTCATAAATGGGCCCTGGCTGTCCAGTTAGTTTTCCTTGGTATTGAGGCAGACCAGGTGTGTTGGCTGTCACCCTGTTGACCATCAAGGAGGTTGATTGGACTGACCTGACCTTTTATGATTATGACTTCTCCTTAATCAATCCATGTTCATCCTGCCTAAAGCCATCGGATGTGTTAGAGTGTGCAGCATTGCCAAGTAAAGGAGTAATGTTTTTGTATAATGAACGTCTGGTTAGAACTAGCTTTTTATGATTATAGATGGTGCTTTACATACAGAGCACTCATCATGTATTTTTTGATGCTTGTAAGGTTTCTCGTAAATCCTGTCAGTTCCCTAAGGTGAGTCCTGTGTTTAGGATTTTCAGTTGGACCTCAGATAATCAGATGGTTAATAAGTGCTTGTTGGATCTAACAGCTGACAAAGATGGCATGTCCTCATTTAATCTCTGATTTAAGGGGCCCCAGGAAGCCGAAGCCATTCTTGGGCTGCATTTAGTAGGTAATGATTTAAAGTTACTATAAAGGTGATAGTGGAACCTAGAAATGCACCAGCTTGCACTGTGAGCACCTGCACATGTGGACTAAGAAGTACCACCTAAAGTAAATAGAAATCAGAAATAGGCAAAAATAGAAAATGGTACAGCAGAAATACTGTCAGACTACAGAAATAGTGACTCGGTTGCTAAGGAAGCAGCAGAGAAGGACCACCGAAACGTGGGTACCAAAGGACAAGCCCAGTAAGTTGGCCTACATCCAGTAGGAGACAGGAGATGATTTTTAGGAATACAGAAGACAATAAGATAGATCATTCGATGTAGTTTTCCTCAAGATAACTTGATTATGAGGCAAATTACTGCCCAACTAAAAGTCCTCTGTTTACTATATAAGACTTGGCTAGCCTTGGAACTCTAAATCTAGTAAAGGGGATGGAAAAAGGCAGCAAGCAAACAGTTATATATTGAGTATCATGGACATTTTACATAACATATACTGTATTATTTAGTCTTCCCTTGTTTATTCACAAGTAAAGTAGGGGATATTAGTTCCATTTTATAAGTTAAACTGAGATTTGAACTCTTCTCTTTTAAATAGGTGCCTGAACAAGTACTAAGTAGTGGAAGGACTTTGATAATATTTAACAACTACAATAAGTCATAGAATTTTTTATCTTACCATCATCTGCTGAAAATGACTCAGGTGGATGTCTAAAAGGGGATATGACGTTAAATATTATAATAGCGTGACATGCAGCATTGAGCTGCATGACCCTTGACCAAAGCTCATGTTCTTTCCATGTTACTGATTTCTTCCTGACAGGAAAGTGGTTATTTATAATCTGACCTATATTTGTTGTGTATATCTCCATCTCCTTTGAAGACAGCACAGTATCCTCTGTTGTATCCTACATGTTGAAATGGTTGCCCTTATATGGAGGCAGTATATATTCGGAAACCAGTCTAGTTAGGTTGAAGGCCAGTGCAGCTGCAGCATTATCTAACAGAAGTCCCCAACCCCTAGGCCGCGCACTGATACCAGCCTGTGGCCTGTTAGGAAGTAGGCTGCATAGCAGGAGGTGAGCAGCAAGGCGAGCCAGCGAAGCTTTGTCTGTATTTGCAGCTGCTCCCCAGAGCTAGCATCCCCACCTCACTTCCACCTCAGATCATCAGGCATTAGAGTCTCATAGGAGCACTGGACCTGGTGTCAAAGAGGTTGGGGACTGCTGATCTAGAAGACATGAGCAACTCAGAGGAGACACACTAGACACCCAAAGGATTAGCCAAAGAATTGATATCTTAGGGTGGGGCTAGACTAATGGAGGTGAAAAGGCAGTATTCCGAACCAATTCAATGATCTGTGTGACAGCTCACTGCTGCATGTCACGCTATTATAATATTTAACATCACATCCCCCTTTAGACATCTACCTGAGTCATTTTTAGCAGATGATGGTAAGATAAAAAAATTCTATGACTTTTTGTAGTTGCTGAATATTATGAAAGTCCCTGCACTACTTAGTACTTGTTCAGGCACCCATTTAGGCCCCCAGTAGAATAGTAGAATATTTTCAGATTTTGATTATACATGACAAGTCTTTGGTGACTTAGGTCCCTATTCATGTAAGAAGTTACAGTTAATATTCATTGTAAATGCACAGCAACTTTGCACTGGTTTTGTGGACTCAACATTAGCTACAGAAAAAGCTCTCGTTCATGCTTATACAACTGGTATTTGAAAGGGCAGGCAAGAGGCCAGTACTGCACAGACAGGAAGGGGAGTAAATAGACAGTTAGTTCTGCTGTCTTTAAGCTATTCTTGCCATTTACAGTTCTTCTTAACAATCTGTTTTCTTTTATTACCTAAACGCTTGATACTGCTTTTATATCTCTTAACAAAAATGTGATTTCATTTTCTCAAAGCTGCACTCTTGATTTGATAATATAAATAAAATTTTGACTTGGTTGTTTCAAAAGATCATTGTATATTTTCTTTCGTAGATCATTAAGTACTTTAAATGTTGATTGATGTAATACTGTACTTTATTTTTAACACAAAACTTGGCCAGACAGCAAAAATATTTGCCAGGAGAAACAATTTTGAAAAGGACAGATTGGCTTTTGTTGCAAGGAAGTACATAGAGACTTGAATTGTAGAAGCAAAGTATTGTTTTATCTCTAAGCATCTGCAGACTGATGATTAGTTGATATGAAGTTTCAACATTTAAACAATTATTAGGAAACTCACTTTAAAAAGTGATTTTTTTTTATTTGAAATGCTTGATTATGTCATTGCTATTAAAGATGAAATGATTCGGTCTGGTCAGATATGAAAAGGGAACTATTACATATAATATCAGTGTTAAAACAGTAAATTATTGATGATTTCAGTTGTTCTTAGAATACGTAATTGTTAGTCCCAAATATGTGCAACTGCGCTTATGAGTTCAGGATATTAACAGGCTTTGTATGAAAATGCTTTATCAGGCATTAAGTACTTAATGAGAACCACTACTTGGCTTCATTTTAGATACTGTGTGGCATGTTAGTTAGGAATCCTTGTTTCGAGAAAGTAACACAGAGCACAGACACACCATAGGTTCATAGTCTTAAGATAGTGCACATTTCGTTCCCCAGGGAGACCAGGGAGGGTCAGGGACATTCCATGGAGGAAAGGAACTGGAGCAGAGCCCTAAACCAGTAGTAGGGTTTCACCCTGAAAGTTTAAGAACGTCTTTCCTCCCTCTCTCCCACCAAGATAAAGTAGCAATGAAAGAAAACCCCAAGATATTATAGGTGTTACATTTTAATAGGTAGTGTTGACTAGAATTACGTCTTTCCTTCCTTTTAGAAATTATTCTTGCAACATTTTACCTGAAAGTATTCTGTTTCAGTATTGCTCCAAAGGCTTATTTCACATGCTGTCTTATATTTTTATTGATTTTTCGACCTCAAGATACTAGCCCTCTAACATAGGACAGTGTCTTTCATTAACTATTCTTAGTTGATCAGAGTTCATATTTCTATGGAATTGTCATTCATGGGAAAATATACACCTATAGAAACCTAGACTACAGCTTAACCATTAAAAGATGTGTTACCTTGCTATATTTATGGCCAAATTTGACATTTTCCTTCTTATGCTTCTTGTTCTTTACCATCATCCTTGAGAAAAATTCCTGCTTAAATGAAAGTGATATAAAATTGAAGTTGAAAGTACAAAATAGTTTTTGTTTTGATAACTTATTCAAAAGGATGGTGAATTTTGTAGTACACAAAGAACAGTAAGTTTTCATAAACGATATAAGTTTAGATTCTAGCACTGGGAAAATTTTTTGGTCTGCCTACTAGTTTATACTTGTATCTTTATGCCCGATTACTGTTTTTTTTAAAGGAGGGTTTGGTGACTGCTTTTAAAAAAGTCTTCTATGAGTTGAGAATGGAAAATTTCCTTAGTGTTTTTTTCCCCCAGAAAATCTAGAAGAATGTATAAAATGAGACCTAGTAAACCTGTAATATGAAGCATAAAAATGTGTTTTAAAACTACAAATATGAAAGAAGTTTAAAATGCTTTTCATGGAACTACCTTTATGGTGCTGGCTGGTAGAGTTTTTATTTTAAATAAAGACATTCCCGTTTTCCAGGACATGATTTATACAAGAAAACATATAATGTCCTGTTGAACATAGGCCAAATACATTCCCAGACGCTTTGTTACCCAAACCTTTTGAGGGATTTCTTTATAGATGTTTTTGGCAGAAGTGGTGATTTTAGAGGAAACATATAAGAAATACCAGATGCAGTTTTCTGAATTGCCATAAATGGTTAAAAAAAATTATTTGTGATGATATAAACATCTGGGCATACTACACAATGCCAAAATTTTAGTTAAGAAAAATTTTGTATCAGTTAGATAAATAATTAAGCCCTTTTCAACTTAATGGTTATATTTTTACATGTGTGTTTTATTAATTCTTCTAAGTATAAAGGAAAAAGTAAATTATGTTGCGACAAGAATGTTTTGAATTAATGTTTTGTGTATTTTCCCTCATATGGATGAGTAATTCAGAACATAAATCATTTATTCTTTTTGTCCTGTGTTGTTTTTCCCAGATAGTCTCCCTTTCCAGAGAAAAATCAGTCATTCTTTAATTTATTTTTCAAAAATTCATTGTTTTCTGTTGTGTAGTAGCACTAAAATAGGCACTAGAGCTATGAAGATAGGGGACAAGGTCCTGCGTTCAGGAGGCTTACCGTCCCGCACAAAGGGAAGGCTGCATGTAAACACATAGGTGCAGCGAGGTGTTCAGAAAGGAGGGCGCGGTCCA